TTTGATGGCAATAATAAAACATCAGCTCTCTTAGTTCTTAAAATTTCTATTTATACATTTTAAGCAAAAAAAAAGATTTTGACTGATAATATGCTGATGCTTTTAATATTTGTACATTTGGTCAAATCTCTTTGTTATCGGATTGTTGACAGAAGTCAGTTGTCGCATTTCATTAAAATGCAAAGTTGCGGTTGTATTCCCCATCTTTGTATGCGCAATAAATACATTATACATACGATATCGATACACGTGGCAGCTTGTGGAATCTGATAACGTTAGCATTGACATTTGATTATGATCCGTTGACAAGAATCAACATATCTCGTAAACAAGGTAATAATGTACGAAAATAGTGTAATAACGCGCGGTGACAAGCTTCTCTCACAATTCAGTTTAATTTTGTCTGCTATACGATAAATACTTTTGCGCATAAAGTACTTATTTATACAATTCTCTCGTCAAAGACACACATTGAGATTTTTCCAAAGATGTTACGGTATCTATCTCATTTTACTTATTTTTTAGATAAAAAGTTATAATTTTTCGTTTAAATGTATTTGTTGTATATATATATATATATATTTTATATATTTTGTTTCTCGAAAAAGTACGTGCTCTAATAAAATTATACATGAGAATTAATACTTTTTAATTTATCCTTAGAGAGAGCATATATTTTATTATTAACATAAATTCTGAGAATAAAAAACAAGTCTTTATACACAAAATATAATAATGCCCACGTTTGCTCGTGTTGCTCGTTTATTCAGTTCTTTTTTAAATAGTAAATGGTGGTAAATTAAAAATCGATTTGACGTCTATGAAAATTACAGTTAACGTCGAGGGGCTATGCACTAGTGAGTGCGATGAACAAGTGATCTCAGATTGAAGTAGATTTCAAACGATTTTATGAATTTCATGAATACTTCAAGCAATTAAAAAACCATGTGATTTAATGTGATTTCATACGATCGGATCAGTGATTTCTAAAATCATTTCTGATTCTACGTGATTTCATATTGATTTAAAAAATTCAGAGATTTCATTCTGATTTCAAATTATTTCAATGATATTTTCTTAACTTCGATTTCGAAAGATTTTTTTCTAATTTTAACCGATTTCTCGTGATTTCGATTTTGATTTTATACCGGAGTGCTTCAATGATTTCCTGAATGAATAGCCCCTCGGTTAACGTAATTTATTTAGCGCAAAGCTCAATGCGACAGCGAGCGACGAGGAGTAGTCAAACGTGCGGTCCTCTCTAGTTTAATAGTCCCTTCATAGTTCATTAACTCTATAGTTCATTAAACTCGCGTGTTCAGTTTCTTTAGAGATAAAACATTATGACGTAAATTCAAATTTTTCGAGAAAATCATTTACAAGCATGCAACGTCATTTATATTTTGCTGACGTTCACTACACGTTCGAATCTACACAATTTGTGAGCAACGAGACTGGAAAGTTCCTCGAGAGAAAAATCGAAGATTGATGTTGTTACGGACGAACGACACGTACCTTTTTCTCGCGGGAAATCATTTCTCCGATTTCTTTCCTCCTTTTCCAACTCCCATTAAAACTTATTCCGTTCGATGATGACATCGAACTGATATGTATATTGCTGTGTCGTATTCTCTTGTCGCACGTGGTATTAAATATCGCATTTCGCCCACATCTGTAGATTATCGTAGACATTTCACTACAATCCATATTTCCAATCGCGGTGTGATATATATCTGAAATGAAAATACATACATTATGCAATTTTGAGGAATATATATATATA